CCCTGGGGTGGGTTGGGTGGGTGCTTACAGGGCCATTCTGAAAACCACTTCTGTGAGAATGCACCCTGTCTAAAGATTATTACCTATCTAACAGAACTTGCCAATAAAACAGGTTGAAAGCTAAATACAGGTTAACTAGCAACTGACTTGTGCAATGGTCATGCCTAATATTTGTCCCATCCAGTTATCCAGAAAGTTTTTCTGGGCAACCTTATCTTTAAGTATAGTATTTTTACTGTTTTAGAAGTATACTGATTAAAGATTAAAGAACAGTTTAAAGAAGATAATCTGCCATGTGTTGAGGAACTTTGAAATCAAAGTACTAAATAAATATTGATTTCAGGAGAAAGAGATGGGATAAATTTTACTTGAGAGGTTATTCTCATTTTTATTTCAGTCATTATGCTTTTAGTAAATGTGTGAGACAGGTGGAGGACAATACAAACAGGCAATTGAAGGGACTAACTCAAGGGTAACCATGACTACTTTTAAAATAAAGGTGAAAATTACTTTGGAAAATATTTTGGAACTTTGAAAACCAACTGCTTAATAGTGTTTTGACTAAATGAAACCAAAGACAAACTTGACTTCTTCAGGTTACTGTCTGAACTTTCAGAGTCTCAGCAAGTGTAGGAGGTCCACTTACCCTCGTTGATACTTTCTTCACCCCTTCATTCATGGTACTTCCTAGTTCTACAGCCTGAGATAGACAAAATACTACTGTAACAACTATTAGTATTTATTTTGTCTCACTAACTATATATAATTGTTCTTAGTGTGTTAAACATTCAGACTGCTATGAACACAGTTCGCTGGAAATTAGCAATCATCCAGTTATCTGGAAAGTTTTTCTGTGCAACTTAATTTTAGTAAAGTTAAGAAGCTGTTTGCTCAGGAAAAATGGCGGATAACCAACACCAGCATAGAAAACAATGCACAAATTGGGAACTACAGGATGTTAACTACCATATGATAACATCACAACCCCACATACCTAGAGAATTAGGTAAGTTGACCAAAATTGTTCTCAAATTCTTTTCATTGATTTTTTTTTTTGTCATACAAAAACGTTAAATTGAGTGAGCTGGCTGTGCAATAACAATATTAAATAAAAGCCGGTAGAGGGAAAATATGGATTATTTTCTTTCCAGTGCATGGTTGCCCACCTTTTATACTTGGTAAAACCTATCATTATTTCCATTTCAAGAAAATGTAATGGAAAGGAAAATATTATATACAACACTCAACCATTCAAAAGTTGCTAATCTTGGACTGAAAGCGATAAATGTTTTCCATTTGTTCCTGTGCTATACATACCTTGGATGCTGTTGGTTTAAGAACTGACTCATTCACTGTCGATCCCAGCTTAACAGCCTACAAAAATATCAGAAGTAATAAAATATATATGATAATGATGATGGCAAATAGTTTACAGTTAACCCTTAGACCATTCCCACAAATCTGCCATTTCTCGTCATCTTCTCTATTGAGAAAGGGGGTCAGTTGGGCCCACAAAGAACGGTTCTGTCCTCGTGTACCGGTTCACAAGAGCTGATACAAAAGACCGAACAATACACAACAGCTAACCAATGACTCCTAAACAAAGAAAGAACAATGGTAATTCCCTTGTGAACCGGTACACCAGGACAGAACCCAAAGAAGACAAAGAATTGGTTGATGGAAACTGAATTTAACAAGAGAGCTTTGAAGGAAAAAAAACCTGGTTAGTTCTAAGCAATCCCTTACTAACTGCTCATTGCTTTCCTAACCCAAATGTTTCTGATATGATACACAGACCAGAAAATTGGGCATGCATGACTGAACTCCGATTAGAAAAAAAATGTCTTGATCAGACAGAGAATCCTAATTGTGAACTCAGTTATTACGAAATGTTTCTTGTTAGACAGTGTTTCTTGATTTTTTTCTTCCTTAAATCAATTTCCCATTTGGTTGAGAGAGCTAGAAGAAACAAATCTTCTTACTTGTTGTGAGGCAACAGCAGCAAATTGAGCAGCTCCAGAGGCAAATGAACTCCAACCCTATACAACACACACACATGTCAACTCTAGATTTTTCCCAAGATCAAAATATCAAATCCCTAAACAGTCTCCTACACATTTCTTCTAATTCTGGCAGTGAGAATTAGGTGTAAATCAAAAAATATGCCCCAATCAACATTTACAACATTCACTTGGTGAATTCTGCTTTGCAATGATAAGAAGAACGTCACAATGAAGCCAGTTATCCGCAGTGAAGTGGGATCCCCCGGGTGTGGATAGTCCTAAAAAGGACTTTTCTAGGAGACAGTGACTCAAAGTTTCAAAAACCTGAGAGGAAGTCAACACCAGAGTCAAATGAAGAGTTGAGTGTCAGTCAAATGTTGTAAGTCTAGTTCATCTAAACTGAATTACATAATTATGTATTATTACTTTTAACTATTATCACTCTTTTTATTAATATTATTATTATTATTATTATTATTATTATTGTTATTGCAATTAAAAGAATATAACAAAAGTAAAATGAAAAACCCCTCAACTTACAGATGAAAGAGAAGAAAATGCAGAGTCCCAACCTAAAAAAAGGTGGATTAAATGAGACAAAAAAGTGCAGGTCATTCAAGATAAAATAATTACTATTAAATAAATCTAATTTATAATTTTACTGGCAACAAAAAAAAAGACAAATTATGACTGCACATCATTAAAATCATAGTTTTAATAGGTGAAAACACAGAAGCAGTGAACCACTAGTTTTGAAATGAAGATCAACTTCACACAGGCTAAATGAAAATGTGGTGAACAGCAAATAATGGTAAAATTTAAGTCTGGACTTGAGCCAAGTGGCCTGTCCACTCAGAGCTTATCCTAGTTTCTGTAACAAGAAGTGATTTCAAATATTGCTACCACTCCCTTGGATGGGATGCTAGTATATCACTGTTTAACCCTGGGGATGCTAGTATATCACTGTTTACCCCTGGGGATGCTAGTCCATCACTGTTTATCCCTGGGGATTTTGCTGCTTTCCCTGGCAGTTTGCCTGTATCCATTTACACTCCTGGGTGGAGAGAGACACTGCAAGAGCTACATGTCTTGCTCACGAACACAACACAATGACACAGCTATGTCATAAAAAGATGTGTGCCCACCTGAATTGCTCGAGGTTGCTACTGGTGCTGATCCAAAACCAGTGTATCGTCCACCTTGACTTGGAGGTAGATCACTAAAAATACAAATCCCAAATAACCAGATTAAATTTTAATTTAATTATTCTTTTATCATCTTTTCTAGTCATATGATGATAGAAATGAAAGAGAAACAATCCTAAGTGCATGACAGAAGAGGAAGCTGTGATAAAGACAAGCCTATCACAAAGAAACTACTATCACTAATATAAACTATACTGAGATAGCTTACTTGGGCCGTGAGGCATTTTCCATCTGTCTTCGATTGAAGAAATCCTCTTTTTGAGCATTTAGTTCACTCCTGTGAAATCAAGTTTAAAGTAAGAATGACAGCCCCAATTACTCATGGAAATGTTGAACTCTATCTGATCCTTTTTGTTTGAAAAAAAATAAAATCAGTGAAGCTAGATTTGTCTCCTGTGAACCTGATCTATAGCCTGCCTTGCCAATACTTTATTTATGGTTCAGTTGGTAGAACATCCAACTGAAAAATCAGAGCATCCATGGTTTGAATCCTCATAAGGGAAATTTGTCTTTGCCTACCACTGAAATAAATTAACACTTTAAGTAAAAACATCCAATTGTTAATTCTCCCCTCTAGCTGCTACACATTTTCTTGTAAATTAGTAATAAAGAGAATTTGGTGCTAGATAAAGATAACTTCTACCTGATAAGTTTGAGTTTTCTCATTAAATTTTTTCTGGATAATTGGATATTATAGAGAGAAGTTACATGTTAATCACCTCTGGGAGTTGAAACATAAATAAAATCAGTAATTAAAAGCTAGATCTGTCTCATGTGAACATGGCATAAAGCCTAACTTGCCACTAAGTTCTTTACAGTTCAGTTGGTAGAGCATACAACTCTAAAATCAGAGGGTATGAGGTTTGAATCCTCACAAGAGGAATTTTTCTTTGCCCCATCCTTGAGATATATGTTAAACAGCTTTTTCAATATTATTCCCTCACTCTAAGTGCTCAGTTTTTAATCAGAAAATATTTCAGACTTAATCTGTTAAATGACACGTAACCTTTATCTTCCTGCAGTTAAGAGTGACTAAAAAGTTGAGTTTCTTTGCCACTAGTGGTTATTATACATCATGTCTTAGTTCAACAAAGATTGACCTCTCATACCTTGATATTCCCAGCATGGATTCAGGTGAAGATGAGCCATAACTCATTGAATTTGAACCATTGGCTGCCCGACTGACTGTAGAACTGCTTGAATTTCTGCTCAGTGGAGGTTCATAGTTTTTAGCTGATGAGGTTTCTTCTGACCATGATCTGCCATCAGCTAAGGCTGCAATCTGTTTGAATCAAAAGGAAAATCTTAAAAGATTACTTTCAAACCCATAACAATATATCATACCACTCAAAATAATCATCCTGTCATTTTTCCTATCCCTCTCCTTTTCTTAAAGAGCATAACGAAGGGAGGCCATGGCAACAAACAAGAGAGTGTCTCTTCTCTATGGATTCTCCACAAAGAAAACATTTAGAAAGTACAAACATTTTTTGATAAATAAATAATGATAAATAAATGACAAACACAAAAATAATCAAAAAGGATGTAAGTATACGAATGTTTCCAACTGTAAGGGGTAATCCACTTTTCTTTCTCCCTTTCTCATTATGAAGAACCACAGACAACCTTTACAACTGCAATAAGATAATGGAAGATGGAAATATTGGGAGCCTTCCTTATCTTCTCTCCTATTTCTAACCTTCCTCTTGTATCTCCTTAACCTTTTGCATAACGTTTACCTCTGCACAGTTTTATGATAAGCAATTATTGAACAAGCCTTTGAAGTGGAAGAGAGAGAGGTGAAGATCTAGGAGAGAACCATACCTTGTCTCTGTAAAGTGCTGCTGCCCTGCTGTTGTACTTTTCTTGAATGGACATGTCTGCCTGGAAATCTGGTTGAGACTTAAAGAAGGCTTTTGCTTTGCTATTTCCACCAACCTAGCAATTAACAAATGATTATTATTAAGACTCACCATCAAAATGAATTATTTCAAACAGGGCTCGACACTAATTTTTCAACTTACTAGCCCAGTGGCTAGTGACATCTTAGATGTTTTTAGACGTTATGACAATTTCAGTCTGTTTACTAGCCAAACTGGCTAGTGGAAATTGAAAACCAGATAGATAGATAGAAACTTTATTAACATGTCAAAGAACCTTCTAGTTTGGGAGATATCCCATACTAATGTGGGGACACAAAGTAGCCAAAACTGAATTTCTACTAGTCTGTAGCTAGTGGGCTACCGTCAGTGTCGAGCCCTGTCAAAGTTCATGTCTGTGTTGCCATCATTATAGCAACTTGACTGTACAATTGTTGTTATTGTTTGCTTATCACTATCAATTTTTCATTCATTTTTAACCCTTTAGACCCTGACACTGGTATCCAAATTCTTCCTACTCCTCTCTATACCTTTTCTTTGGTACTGACAAAGATAATTTGTTTAACGATCAAAGCCTCTTATGTTGTGATCATCTCCTTTATTCCCATCATGTTAACGAATGATATATATCTTATTAACCAAGCGCGAGAGCCGTACTGGGAGAATATCGCCCCTAGGTCTTGACAGTACAGACCGAGCATAGCAAGGTCCGTACAAAAAAGACCGAGGGCCGATATTCTTCCAGTACAGTCCCGAGCAAGCTTGGTTAATAAGGGACCATTCGGGACAGTGCGTGGCCCAATACTGAGAAAATATTGACTGGCAATAGAGCATTTTGATTGGTCGATTTTAGTTATTGGCCCTATGACTTCCCGAGTCGTGTAATAATCTGCAATATTACTGTAATGTGAAATTAGATGCTGGTCACTCGAGGTAAAGACAGCTTGTTTACTGGATATCTCTGTACACTTAACAATTAAATTGTTTTATTTACTAGACCCTGGTACCTTCATTTTCTCCAGCTCAATGTCTTTCCATTTGTCCATGGTTACTGATCTTACAAAGCTAAAAAAAAAGAATTCAGTAACAATTATATGTGGTATCAAAACTAAAGAACTAAAGAGGAGATAGAGACCAACTTAAAATTGCAATAAATGAAAGGGAAGAGTGTCATGCAAAAATAAGTTAATCTTTGGAATATCTCTGAGTGTATTATTTGGGAAAAGTATGCCAGACTTACATGGCAGTCACCGACATACCATACAAAAAAACATGGGTGATGATGAAAATGAATATGTGAAAATCATGTGTGTGAACTGCCAATTAATAAATGAATATGTGAATGATCAGTGCAGTAATGAACAGTTATGAAAATAAAACGCGACAAAAATTCAGACCTGTATACAAGTTGATCCCATTACCTCTACTTGTTAGCTCAGTGGGTTAAGCACTACACTGGTACTGCAGAGGTCATGGGTTCAAACCCTGTAAAATCCTAAATTTTTTTTACAGGCTTCATTTTCTTTGCAACTGTAAAGCGAAGATCATATATTCATGACAAAAGATTTGTGGATAAGTTTTTCTTGTTTTTTTTTTTTGTATTTCTGTCACTACTTCTGTTGTTGTTGTTGTTGTTGTGTTACCAATGTGTATACATGAACAGACATAACATGTCAATAGTAGTTGCAAATAGACGTAAACATACTAGAAGGGACATCTTAAATACTAGGTGGTTAGAAAATTAATTAGCAAGCAATTGAGATCCGCGGAGATTTCAGTTTACAGCACTATTTTTCTTTCACAAGCTTTGTTTGTTTCACCTCATAACCCACACGCGTTAGTGTAAGATACAAAATCACTGGAATCATTATATTTGATCCCCTGTATCATGATTGTTACGTTGTGTTGGGAGTAATATGTTTAGCTATGTGAGTTATTATTTCGACTTTCGTGACCTTTTCTGTCAGTGTGAAAACCCTGAATAAAATCATCGATTAAAAAACTCAATCCATACGTAATCGGGTTACCACAGCGATACATTGTCAAAATAAAATGACGCCATTTAATTCTTGCTCAATAGAGCACTTCATACTTTCACACGGTACCACGTACAAAATACATTCTAACCGGCTTTCCGCGAAAAAAAATATTCATTGCGTAATTACAACAACGAACTCCAGCGTAAAAGCTTAGCACGTCTATTATCATTGCAAGGAACACATGGTCGTACCTTAAATGAACTCCTAAACCTCGGTGTTTCCCTGAACATTCAAGGCAAATCCATATCCCATAGGTCACGCTTACCCATTGAGGATTGTGTGCCCCGCATTCGAAACAACTCTACGCGATCAAAAGAATAGAAAATCGTCTCGATCAATCTACATATACAACAGAAGATTAGAAATAAGATGATAGCTGATAATTATACTTACACTGTTGCCATCTTTCGGCTTTATTTCCTTTAAAACTCGCCGCGTTCGAGGACTTGCCATGTCGATTTCTATAAACTTCCTCTGATCTATTTCGCCGCCTCCGCTTACTCTTTTACGTGTAACCACGAGCAGAGGTGGCTCACGGGAAAGTAATCTTCACTTCCGGTTTGAGTCGATTTCTTCCGGTCCGCAGGTGGTCTCTTCCTTCAACATCGACAGTTCTAGTTCATCTTCATGGGCAATTAACTTTTTCCACAGTTTACAAGGTGAGAGGAAATGGCGGAAGCAACATCTGAATTCAAAATCGTAATCGTGGGAGGATCTGGAGTGGGAAAGAGCTCTGTTGTCAAAAGTTTTTGCGGCAATGTCGAAGAGGACTTAGAAGGTAGGAAATTACCAAAGAAACCTCTGTAACATCACAGTGTTAATTGTCGGTAAGATCGGACGATGAAAACCTAGTTTATTTATCTTTCAAGACAAACCTTAAAGATCGATGGTAACTTTAATGATGAAAATAAATGAATGTTTTTAACTTCAATACGATTTTAAATTCCTTGTGGTTTACCAAAGGATTTTTCGATTTTGATACAGAAATGAAGGCGATCGAAGATAATTTAACACCACCTGCTGTCTCTTTTCCATAAAATTCAGAATTATAAGATTCATACGAGTGAGTTATGCAATATCCATGGGGTAAGACTCGAATTTAAAAGAGCAAATGCAGAAGCCTAATACTTGGGATGAAAAAAAAAGAGATCGACTGAAATTTCTGTTACCAGGATAAGGTAGAATTTTCCAGAAGGGGAGTCCTACGTCAGAATCTTACTAAAATTGGGAAAAACCACACCTGCACAACACAAGAAATTTTTGTCTCGATTTTTTCTTTTGTGTGCATGTGTTTTAAGGCAAGCACAGGCTAACGCGAGGAGAGCGCGGATGGCGTGCCACGCCCGCTTGCGTTCGCTACGCGTTTGCCTGCGCTAACGTGAAAAATGACGCCTGTTCTGGTTGAGAAAAGGATGGGTTGGATTACTTTTATATATTATCAGTTTTCTTTATGAGGGATGGAGGGGTCATCCAGCCTAGCACCCCCTAAACGATGCCCATGATGAAGCAAATAACTCCTTTTTTTCTTCCACCCGTCTGTAACTGCAGTAATCGTAACCTCACAACACCACGAAGATATTGACGATTTATTCGGTATGAATGACGGTTGACGGTATGTAGGTTGAAACTTAAAACAATAGACCACTTTCATAAATGGCTGCCGGATTAATATTCTTTTGTTTGAATTTAAATCAGCCCTTCTGGCCTCGTCCTCTAGTACAAAATTCAAAAGAATACATTATCTCAAGCGAGGCCAGAAGGGCTAATTTAAATTTAAACAAAAGAATAGTAATCCGGCAGCCATTTATGAAAGTGGTCTATAAATGAATACGAAATTGCAACAATTGACTAGTAAAAGTGACAGGAAAGAAATACACAGAACGAACTTGAAATAACAATACTTACATTGTTACGATTTCTACGAAACTGCTGGACGGATATAAACTGCCCAAAGGCGAAATAAGGATAAACTGGAGTAACTGCTCAAAGCGCTAGCGAACTACTGTATGGCTAACGGAAGACTGAACTCTGCCGGAACTGAGAAAGACTAAGTTATATATGCGAAAACGACTTGCTAACTTAAAGTGCAATTAACACCGATATAACGAAAGAAACTAATGAACAAAGATACGTGTCATAGAAACAACAGAAGCTAACTAACCAGAGAAAAAATACTAACGAACGACGAGAAACAGCGACAACACGAGACACCCTAATGATTGATTGAACGAGAAAAACGAAAAAAAAAAAAAGACATTCCGCGCGCTAAGATCCTACACCGTCCTCCGTAAGGAGAATTGCGTTGTTTCCTCTTTTTTTTTTTTCGTTTTATGAAAGCTGTAGGCCAAAAAGCGGCAGCGGACCAGCAGGTTGTAACAAAGAGGATAGAGATTCAAGGCAAGGACATTAGTCTGAAAATAATGTAAGCTTCTTTTACACAACCTTTCTAATTTAGATCTCTGGGGATTGATTGTTCACATCTCATTCTCTTTCTCTTTTTTTTTTTCGAAGTGAATCAGTAAAATCGTGACTAATTGGCCATGCCTGACCCACTCAGTTATTCAGTGCCTGGACTTTAACCGTCTACGGCATAACATTCTTTTACACAGGAGCATCTCATGTGTAGAGATAATTACCAGTTGCCACAATTACCATATTTTAAATGCCATTAGACAAATGAAAACAGTTTTATTTGTAAGGAACATAAACACTTTCAGGGTAGATAACCTATCCTGTGTTCTGATTGGCTACCAAAGCGGGCAAGGTGAGCCCATCTTGCCCGCTTGGGATTGCCCGCATAGATCCTACATATGAAAAAAAAATTGAATCAGAACTACGTTCGAAATTCTTGGACAATTTCGGTGATGGAAACACAAAAGGCGGCAAAAGATAGTCAAAACAAAGAAAACAGAAACGACTCTCGTGGGTTTAATGTCCAACAAACACAGTTGGCTTTGTTTCCCGGCTTTCGAAGTAAACAACTTATTCTTAATTCTGAATAAAGCGAAATCTTTTTGCAATATAATATATCCTCTATTAACCAAGCTTGTTCGGTCAAGATGGCTGGATATCAGATTCATTCTTTTTTCGCATTTTTTTTGGACCTCGACTTCGTTGCGGTCCATGCATGAAATGCAAAAAAATAAAAAAACCCTCATACTTGGTTAATAACGTATATATATTTACCCGGCTAAACAATTTTGCAAATTTGTCTTTAAAATTTTCATATCTTTGCCTTTTTTTAGTGATACAGCAGGATCAGTGCTGGAAAACCAGGTGTATACAAGGAAACTTTACAAAGGGGCTAAGGTAAGTTTATTTAACCAGTCTCACTGTCTTTGGGGGATACTAAAAGTGATCTAGTAAGTGTACGTTTTCGGAGTTCACAGCTGAGGTAAAAACTGTGCACGAGAAGGTAAAATAACAGACCTATAATCTGTCATATCATAGGGTATCATGGTCATATATGATGTTACCCACAAACGCTCATTTGAAGATGTTCCAAAGTGGCTGCAGGATATTGATGAGGTAATTATTGATATCTTCAAGACTTTCTATTGACGTAGTCATTATGCTATATGAACCAATATACCATAATCTAATATCCGTACATTGTATCCGGTTTCTTCTTACAAAGTAAAGTCGAGAAGAGTTATCTAATATCTTAGAGGCTTTTTTTTTAAAATAAAACAATTATTCCACTCGCGTTTGTTGGATATGAGATGATTAAAGCCAACTCGGCGCTGCGCGCCTCGTTGGCTATCTATCATCTCATATCCAACGTGCGCTCGTGGAATAATTGATAATTATTAAAAACTGGATCATTGGATAATGCAATTCAAGACTTTTTATTGGCTTAACCATTATGGTATATGAGCCGATATACCATGATCTAATATCTGTACATTGTAACATCCGGTTTCTTCTTACAAAATAAAGTCGAGAAGATTTGTCTACATTCGGGACAGTGCCCGGTCCAATACTGAGAGAATATTGACTGGCAATAGAGCATTTTGATAGGTTGATTTTAGTTATTGGCCCTCTGACTGCCCGAGTCGTGTAATAATATGCTTTATGAACCAATTTTGAAAAGACCAACTTGAACTGACTTCGAGCAACCCTTCCTCTCAAAATTCAGTCCTGCCTGGTGATAAATACACAGGTGTACCTTACAAATATCTTGAAAAACAGAGGGGAAATGTTACTTTGAATAAGGAAGTCTAGTCATGCTCTGGCTAATATGTTTCGGCATCTTTCCCGTGATTTCTATCCTTTTTTTCTTTTTCTGCTATTTTTCTTTTTTTTTGCGATCAAGGTAAACATAATTTTCCAAATCCAGCATACCCTTTAAAGGAATACGGACTGCACCTCCTTTATTTTCGATTGTTCATGATACGTACCAAATATTGGCTTTTTTAATTTTAAGAATAAAAAAAAGTTAACAAGTGTCTATCATCCTTTTTAATTCTAGTTTGCTACAGACCACGGTGTTTATTTTTTAGAAGTCAGTGGCAATACCGGTGTGCAAGTCAAGGAAGCTTTTGATCTGATGACGGAGGAAATTCTTCTCACTGAGAACCATGGTCAAGCTACAGCTCAACCTAACCGTTGCTATTTGCTTTAATATATTTACCAAATGACGCTGTATTTCATAGAAAAATTCATTACCTGACTCGTGAATCCCGCGTTAAATTAAGCGCGACAGTCGATATCCGCACGAATCACGCGATATCGATCGCGCGATATCCAACGTTTTTCGCGCGCAGTTTAACGCGGAATTCACTAGCCATGTAATGGATTTTCCTTGAATCACATAACTGAATAAAATTAAGAAAAAAAGAAAAAGAGCAATGATATCGTTTGTTTTATCCTTAGGGGAAACAATATCACTTAACCTCGTTCAACTCGCAATTCCACGCTAGATACCTCGCTTCGTTAATCAATCAGAATGCGAGATTTTATTCAATTATGCGATTCTAGTTTTAATCCAAACACTTCTTAGATTTCAATTCCAAGTTCGTTCTTAAATCCCTCCCAAGTTTTTCGGACGCAGCCATACTTGTTCACGCTTTTTCATAGGTATGGCGATCTTGCCCGCGAACACACGTGTCAATGTGGAAAAATCTGAAAAACATTTCTTTTTTCGCACAAAATTCGCTTGAATTAATACTAGTCTTCGATTTAACCTGCTGTGAAATACGGGATGGAAACTTTATGAAAAATGTAAGTCAGAGTAGCGGAGGTTAAAAAATCCATCTGAAACGATTGCGGTAAACAGAAACTGATTAGATCAAAGCCGACATGTTAAAGCACACTGATAAATTTGAGTTTCTAAACCTGTCAGAATGCTGTTTTTTTTTTCCTTCGAGGTCCTTGGAAGATTGAAAATTCCTATCAACACTGGTACCACGGGTGAAGAAGGGCCGTTCTACCTGGTATAAGCAATATAAACGTGCTGGAATTTTCCCGACAGAAGAGAGCCTTTATAGATTATGTTAGTAAAAGAAGCATATTATGCTAGTAGCATTGCCTTTTTATTTGGTGAAATTATGCTAAAAATAAGCACTTTTTTCCAAATTATGCCCCTTTTTCTTAAAATTATGCTCTTTGAAAAAATTGCAAATAAGTCCAAAAAATACATATTTTGAATTAGAAGCCGTTGGTCTACAAGAAAGAAACGCAACAAATCCACAATGAAATTCAAATAAACATGTGGTTCATGTTAACGCGGGCTCAGACCCGTTTCAGACGCCGCTGAGTGATTCACAGTGAACTACAAATGCTACTAATTGAACTAAAACTTAAAACATCGAATAACGTCACCAAGTGCTTGGGAGTAGAGATGAACAATGATCAAATTGTAGCAACAAAAATGATCCAATAATTATCAAAATATGCGAATTATGCTAGCATTGCTACTTGGCAGAAATTATGCCAGTTTGCTCAAATTATGCCAAAAATTATGCAAGCATAATCAATAAAGGCCTACCCTCCCCACCCTCGCTACGTCATAAGACCATCAAGTGTCTAGTGGTCTGTCGTGCTTGAAGCTGGTTGGTGTTCCTGTGGAATCTTTTTTAGTGGACAAAATTTCCATAAGGTTTCCTCCACACATCACACTAGTATTTCTCGACTAGTCATGAAACCTGGGTAACCTATGATCGTCTAAGACCCGTAGCTTGCTTTTCTTCCCATGAATCTTTTCGGAAAGCAAGCAAAAGCGGGGAGCTTTAGACCACTTTCATAAATGGCGGCCGGATTAATATTCTTTTGTTTAAATTTAAATTAGCCATTCTGGCCTCGTTCTCCAGTACAAAATTCAAAGAATACATTATAACAGGCGAGACCAGAAGGGCTAATTTAAATTTAAACAAAAGAATATTAATCCGGCAGCCATTTATGAAAGTGGTCTATATTATGCCAAGAGTGACATCCTTAAAGGACAACGAAGATTACAGAGCCCCAGGCAACGGATCGAGAACGGTTAGACGATTCAATTACTGGAACTAGAATTATATTTATCATTCAGGGAAGAAAACTCTTGGCAGGTGTGAATTATACACGACAAGCTTGAGCTTCTGAAGCATAAAGACAAACAAGTACCTTGAACTCATTTTTATTCCAGATTGTTTCATAATTTTTCAGTATGGTGTCAGACCTCCGAATTTTAGCACCTAAGGTGCTTGACGATGAAATGTCTTTTGGAAAAATTGATACCAGTTTAGTGACCGAGTGTAACTGATGAACCATGTAATCAAATAAATCAGGAACTATTTCAGTATGTTTCTTGGAAGGGTCGGGCTGTCCTAACGGAGTTGAATAAGTCGAGTGTAAAAGCGTGCATTGTCAGTTTGGCTTGTCTTATGCAACACCTCTCTAAATAACGCATTTGATGCAGTCAACCCCTACATGAATTTTCCCGGCGAAGGATATTATATTTCTTCGTTGGCCACGTTGAGAATTTTTAATGCAAGTAACATCCAATCGTTTATTTTGTTTTCAGGATGACATCATAAAGCTTCCACAGAAGTTTTATTCCACAAGTTCCCTCTTGATATTGAATAATTCTAGGTAAGATGTTTTTCCTTCCACAACTCTCCCCTTCCTTAGAGGAAGAGGTGAAAAACTATAATAATGATAATTGTAGTTATAAGTAGAAAAAAGTGGTGAAAATGAGGATGCAAAGCCATACTTGTCACTTCTTGCTGGTCAAAAATTGTTCTTTATTAGCCTGTGAAACTGGCCACTAGCTTGGTTACCACAAAGCCCTGAACATTTCAAATTTCTTTTTATGCTCAAGAATTTTCACATAAAGACAGCAACACTACAAGAACATTTCAGTTAATTAGAGAGGGTCTGCATACCCCTTTGTAAAACTCAGTCGTGTAAAAATATTGAGCCTTTTCACGCATCATGAATATATCTAAAATTCCGTAGCATTCACAGAAATTTGAGATGATCATGTTCCACATTTATAAGTATTATAAAACCAAACGCACAAATTAACATCTTTACTTTTTCTAGTCTTGATCAGTCTTTAATGACAAAAGATGACATGAGGTCTTTTCTTATTTGTTCAAGTACCCTTTATGCTCTGTTTTATAATTTTTATTGATCCATATGAAGTCCATGTCATGTCAAAATCTCAGTCAAAACCTAACCACAACTGTTCAAGAACAATGTGTACATTTTCAAAACCATAAAAAGTGGGAATTCATCATGCAAAACAAAATGGTTCTCAAATCGCATCTAATGCAGCCTTTCATTCAGGAGTCACATTTCAATACAAAAAATTGTTTATGTGGACATGAAAAGATGTCATCTTTGAACACGATTCATGAATAAGGAAAAAATAAAATCTCGAATCACAAGAAAAAAGAATCCAACCATGCTTCATTGAACTCTCATTTGAGATTGTTACTGTTGTGGCTGTAAAAAGATATATTTTCTTACTGTTCATTACCTTGCAGGATAAATACTTATAAATGAAGAAAAATGGAGTATACCTGTAAGCATTGCGGCAAGTGTTTTGATAAGCCAGGTACCTTAAAACAACATAAAGCTATTCACTCAGGAAGAAAGCCCTATATGTGTTCACACTGTGGAAAGACTTTCAATGACCCTTCTAGTTGTCGGCGTCATGTAAGAACCCAGCACAAGGAAAAGAAGGCTGGTTTCAACCAAGTGAGAAATCTTCAGCAACATGAGAACATGCATGCAGAAAGAAAATGCAACAAACAACAGCCTGATATAAGCCAGGAAAAAAAGAGAGAAGTGAGACAAAGAGGTCCCAGTCAGCCACTAAAACCTGTGAGAAGCAAAACAGCCAACAGAAAGAAGGGCAGACATAGCAAAGATTTACACTCTAGTGGTCCTCGTACTAAACACCAGTTGTACAAATGTGAGAAATGTAATAGAAGTTTTTGTTCTGCATCTAGTCTTGGGAGACATACCATTATACATTCAAACAAGAGACCCTATAAATGTAAATACTGTGGCAGATCCTTTAATGACAGTGGGAATCATCTTAAACATGAAAGGCTACACGCCAGGAAAGCAAATCTATCTGTTAATGAATCATGCACCACACAAGCTTCCACTGTACAGAGATGTGATGCAATTGAGTCAGAAAGCTGCTGGGTTTGCCAAAAATCATTTAGTAGGGAGGCACTTCAGGACCACTATGAGAAGTGCACATGCATATTAGAATTGTTATTTAACAATGTAGAACACGATACTGGTACCACAAACTGCTCATGTCAACCGAAACGGAGTTTTTACACCTTTGAAGGCTTGGCAACCAAGCACACAACTGTAAAATGGACAATTAAACTTTTAGAGCACTGTGGAAAGTATATCCGATGTTGAAGATGCTTTTTATTTGTTCAGATGATATTGTGTGCACATTAATGTAAATGTTTATATTTTTAAATTCTCAGATATATCATTAAATGTATTAAAACATTTTTTTGTATCCATTATTTCAGAATGTGCTGAGGAAAAAAATAAAGAAAAGTGTTTTGTTTAGACTAGAAATTAAAACCAAATTTTTTAGTGAAGGGTAGTATTCCTTTAAATCTTAAGACTGATTATGTTATGAATTTCCCTTACAATTCCAGTGCACTTACACTTTCAACCAAACAAGGTTGATTATAAAAACCAGGTAGTCACCATCTTAGGGTCATTGTGTTGATATAACACCATATTCTTGTGAGTAGCCAAAAAACCCGGGGGGGAACTACCATATGAAACAGACAGGGATGCTCATCATCTGGCTTAGGGGTGTAAATTTTGGATTTTGGTCTTGCTTAGGGTGTTCCAGGCAAAGCGCCAAAATTTTAAACCGCCAAGGACTCGTTTAGAGTTCCGCGAAGAAATGCAGAATTACACGAAGTAAAATTTTCTTTTTAACTTGTTTTGTTTACCGGGTTACCTCAATATTAACTAGTTTTCTATTTTACAAAGTGCCAAAGAGACAATGCATGAACATGAGCAGTCTCTTTTAGGGGTCAAAATTTGCTTAAGCCATGCCCAGATGGTCTCCTTTAGGGGCCAAAAAAAGAGTGACTGTGAAGGGGAAATCTTTCAGATCTAAGGGTGAAGGAGTGAAACTTCTTACCCAATTTTGTTGTCAAAGAAGGAGAAGTCCAGTCCTCTCCAGTAATACAATAGTTACTGCCTTTGATCGGGCAGTCCAGTCCAGTAGTATGACCAGTATTTTTCCGACTTCTTAAGTTTGACGGGTTACCTGGGGCCCAGTTCCCACTTCCTCTCCCTCAGCTCTTAGTACGCATGTGATCATCAACGACGAAGGCGGAAAGAGCAATGGCGAAGAAAAGTTATGACTACCTCTTCAAATTGCTCCTTATAGGAGACTCAGGTGTCGGGAAGACGTGCATTTTATTTCGTTTCTCCGACGATGCATTTAACACGACGTTTATCTCGACAATAGGTGAGTGAAAGCGGCAACGTTTTACTTTTTAACTGCACAACGCGTAAGCTTGAAAACTATGTAAGTTATCTAATCGACTCTCGCCCTCATACTGCACTCAGAAAAGCTCATTAGTCGTTCTGTGTCCCTCCTTTTAGTTTTTTTTAATGATAGGCATTGGTTTAATGCGCCTTGGTTTAACTCAAACCAGAAATCAAATTGGTGTTATTAAATTTAATCATTCAAAGTTGCTCCATCTTTCGACGCCTTTGATCTGTACTTTGGTAAGGGGCTTCCTGGAGCAAATGTGAATCATTTTATTCCAGACCCACTGGACGACATGCAGCATATCAATGTTGCTTGTCTTCTTGTAACGTTTAAGCTGTTATGTATCGAATAATGACAAGCCACGAAAAATTTCGTCCGGCTGGTTTTCAGTAGAAATTCTAGCGGTTGCTAGCTACATTCTAAAGTCCGAGAGGTCACGACTATTTTCGTATTGTTGCACATTCACATTCCTTGAACACAGACATGCCCATGTTTGCACAAGACTTGAAAAAAAGATTCTCTTGTGATTGCTTAATTGGAAGGTAATTTTACCATATTTCTTTTATTTTGCGCGACCGTTTCCCCTGATAGTACGATTGTTGCACTTTGTACAGTACAGTTGTTGCTTTCGATTCGTTAATAATTTTCGTTGATTTCCTGTGACCTCTTTTCCAAAGTTACATTTTTCACTTAACAGTTACACACTGCGTTATACCATCAATGTGTTTATTATCAAACGGTTTGTTAACTTTACCAGAGAGAAAATACTTGTCTGACTGTACTATGGTCTTCAGCAAAGAAAATTGGATAAGCACACACACTTCATTTCAGTCCAATTCATTTATCTTGTGTACTTTTAGAATGTGCCTTTAATTCTGTACCTAGTGTTGAGGCCTTTCCTCTTTTGTTTTCCAATATTTAACTTTCATTCCTTGATAAAAATTAATTTGTGAGTTAAAACAACATGCCACCTACCATGAAATCTATATTAATTTGATGGCTGTTAGTGTCCATTTAATACTAAGGTGACTGGCTTCATACAGGTTTAGAAAATGTTTGCTACTATACTTAGTCAATTAGCCCAGAAAAGCAGTGACAGTAATCTACAACCTGTAGGGTTTGACTTTATTCTGGCAGATATCATAGGTAGCTTGATATCAGAAATATAAGATTTTTGAAATAAAGTAGTCATTGTTTAAACATAAAACAATTTTTTTAAAAAAAAAATGCTGTGTCAAATGCAAGACAATTTATCTTTTTTGTTTGTGAGCAGTGAATTAATTTGATTTGCCAATTAGTGATGAACTATCCACATCTCACAACTCTACAATTTTCTATTCATGAATTAAAATTCATTACTGTAAGCAAATATTCTGTTAAACAATATATTATGTAATATCCTGACAGATATAAAGGGATGATGAAATGCTTGATTTGTGAAATGAATTCAATAAAGAAATTTAGACCAATCTTCATGATAAAAAACTACTTCTCTTACTTTATACCTGAAAGTTTTCGTTCCTGTTATGTAATGGCCAATATCAATGAAACTTTTCTTTACTAGTGATTTGATTCTGTATTTCTCTTTGTTCTCACCAAAAAAATAAATTGTACCCCTGGAAATATTTTTGTTTTTCAGGAATTGATTTTAAGATAAAGACTATTGAGCTTCAAGGAAAGAAGATCAAGCTGCAGATATGGTTTGTTTACTTGTTTTTCTGTCTCATTTTAAAGCTGTATCCACAATTCATTACCATTTTGTGAAACACAATTGGTTGAGTAACTGATTAGGGATGAATTTTAATCATCTGAGAAGCTGGATGTGCATCACAGCTGTTCCAAATCTTTCTCCAAGCCAGCCAAACTTTGTCTGTTTACCTCAATTTTTATGAAGGTGTCTTTTACCTACTGCATGACAATTTTCTATTTCAGACTTTGGCACAATTGTGGACCCATTGTTTTAAGCTTGTAATCGATTGAAAATGAAGGGTTTTATTCAAAATGTTGGGCAAATTTTTTTTGCTTCTAGAAATATATTAATCAGATGGAATGAGTCCAGAAATGCATGGGAGTCAAAAAATATATCTTAATATTTTAAGTTAAGGTTATATGCAACCTACTAATACATTACCAATTCCTTTAACTCTTTGATCATTTTGCAGGGATACAGCTGGCCAGGAGCGTTTCCACACAATCACTACATCATATTACAGAGGAGCAATGGTGAGGATACTCCTAATTGGGATGTTGTTGGTCTTGATAGTCTCTGTGCATGTGGGATTAACAACCTTTTCACTCCCAAGAGCTGATGGGAAATCCATTCTCTCTGATAATTTCTGTGTTCTCAATAACTCTTTTCTTTGACACTATATTGATGTTGTTGGGAGAACTTGAACTTTGATTGTCTTGTGATGGTTGTGCAAAATGGCCTGCACTGATTAAAACTCCCTCTCATTTGACCGTTTCACAACGGAAATAAAACAGTCATTGAATGAATGGTGATTTTGTTTTACGTAGGGCATTATGTTGGTTTATGACATCACTCAAGAGAAAACTTTTGATAATATCTCCAAGTGGCTGAGGAACATTGAGGAGGTAATATCACCAGGAAAAATTTTCTTTAGTTTCTAATTTGACCAAGCTTGTAGCCTTTAGCCCCTTAATAATGATAAAAACCTGTATTTATATAGCGCACATATCAAAAAATTCTCATGGCACTTTACAATGTGTGGTTCCAGAAAATATCCATACCCCCCACAGAAGACTTTTTGATTTGCACCCCCACCCCCCTGAATTTTCCATTCCAGGCAGTCTTTGATGACCCCCCTCCCCCCGGGAATTTCCAGAATTTTGATCGGGGACTTAATTCTTACCATCGTCGGAAATTCAAAGTGATTTTTGTACTTATAAAAAGAGAAAGTGAATACTAAGTTGGTTACATTAATGCGGTAGAATTTTATTACAACACTGAAAACATTAAGGTTAACTTTAATACAAGTATAACACTTTGTTAAGCTTGTATTTTTAGCATCTTTGCAGATCATATCCGTGTTGTTTTTATGTAAAATAATTTATAAGCTTAAACATCTGGGTCGCAAAATTTAAACTGATTTAAAACGTCGACTGTTCCGCATATGTTTTCGTGCTAACGCCGATGAGAACGTTTCACTCGCTTAAACAACTTTGCAAACGATACTAAATAAAACAGAAACATACAAGGTTCCTTTGTCTACACATTTTGTCACTTTCTTCAGGTTGATTCTTATTTAAAGACCTAAAACTTCACTAGCACACACATGTTAACAAAGTTTTATGAACATCGCCACGATTTACTAAATTAGCTAGGTAGCCCAGCCTTCTGAAGGACGATCAAGAAATGGGAACAACCATGTTGAGACGGCCATTTCAAATTGTTTTGAATCTGTTCCTAGCTTTGGGAGGTTGTAGCACTAGCTAACTCAAAGAAAAACAAAAATATTAAAGCTTATAATGTCAACTTTATCTGAATGGCCAAGAGTACTGACTTTTGTTTCAAAACAACATACATGACTATGTTTTTGTGCTTCAGATCGATCCTATATGTTGCTTTAAATGTTTTGTACGTGGTTCGTCACCCTTTGGAAAACTAGTATCCCACGAAACCACCCTGCCCCTCAGAAATTACTACCCTTGAACCCCCCCCCCTCCCCCTCAGAATTTCCAATGATCTTCCATGAGGAGGGTATGGATATTTTCTGGAACCACACAATAAGTATAAGAAATTGATTACAATTAATTTTAAAATGAACATAATAACTGTCATTAAATGTAGAAAATATGTTTTTAGATTCTTTTTAAACAAAGGCAGTGTTCTGACATTCCTGATGTGGCTAGACAGGTCATTCCTTAATTTTGGTACACAGACTGAGAATGCTCTACCTCCATATGTTTTGTTCTTGATGTTGAAGTTGCTAGGAGTCCTAGGGAACTTGAGCCCTTTATGTAACATGGTAGAAACCTGTTAGATAAAAGCCTGTTCCGGGCATCATGTTAGTAAACAAGGTGTAATTATGGTAATGGCAGAAAAACCTGCAGAGGAAGACAAACATGGAGCAGTGAAAGAAGGAGCCTCGGGACAGGCCATAGTTCTTGCTTCTTTTCATCACTTAAATGTTTGCCTTTCTCTGTTGGTGCAGTCATCCCATGTCTACTTTTAGTTGAAGACTGAGACTGATTACATCCTCTGCACTGACTGATGAGAGAAATAACATTTCCTTGTCAATTTCAGCATGCAAATGAAGATGTAGAAAAGATGATCCTTGGTAACAAGTGTGATATGGATGATAGAAGGATTGTTAGCAAAGAACGCGGAGAACAGGTCAGTCAAGTGAACAATTAGTGCATTCTGCTTAGTGCAGATTTTGATGTAGTGTCTCTTTTTCATATTGATGCTGTCATACACTGTTTTTTTTTTAACTTTTGAAGAAAGCTCTAAGGCAACACTCTGAAGGCTTCTATTGAAAAAAAAAAAACACATATATAATACTATTGTATGGGCATGTTCAGCCTTAATGGGGAAATTGGTCTAGCTCCTTTGTTGGAATGACACATTGAAATATAGGGTGCGTTTACCAAGGCTAGAAGGTTACACTCTTTATAATCAATGAATCTGTAAAGAATTACTCGCATCAATTAAAGCACTGTATTCAAATGTGGTCACTAGTGTCTATTACTTTGAATCATGCTGAGCATGGCTGCTTGCCTGTGATAACACAACAGTCTCATTCCTCCCTTTCCATGACCAGCCTTTTTCTTTGAACATTTAGGGGTTACTGAAAAAGATGTTCATGAGGTAAAGAATGATATATCGACGGATAGGACAATGATAACAGTCTGGGGCATACTTTTCCTTTTACGAGTACTATAGTATTTTCCAAAGGAAGGTTTTGAGTGAGGTGTACTGCTGCTATAGCACTTGCTAAACAATAGTTTCTTTGTCATAGATTGCCAGAGAGCATGGTATTCGCTTCCTGGAAACAAGTGCCAAAACCAATGTCAACATAGAACAGGCATTCTACAACCTAGCAGAAGATATTCTAAAGAAACAATTGACCAAAGACAACGAGGAAACTTCCCAAAACATCCATGTTAGCAATACACAAGAGAAAAAGTCTGGCTGCTGTTAAAGAGAGTTTTAACTGCAGTTCTATTTTTGTTAAACAATTTACTTAAATGTACAGTTAATTCCTATGGGGGACCATGAGTCCTTGGAACAGAAGTGTATGTAGTTTCTAGGTGTGACATTGATAGAGAAGATGGATTTTCACACTTTCCTCATACAGAAAGTTTTAATTGGTGATGTAGTTGGTTTGCAATCCTCTTGCTTAAATTGGTAAAGAGATCAATGGGCTACCTGTGAGAAATTGGCCAACCTGTGTATTTAGGGTGGGAAACAAACCATTGGTAACTCTTACATCAAGTCCCAATTGATCAATTCTCTCTAGAGATTGTCATACATTCCTTTTAATGTTACTTCAGAGAATTGCATGTAAGAGGTACATATGGTCAATATTCAAGTGGCATGATTTGTTGGTGCTTCTCTATTTGTTGAAAAATCAATCTTGGAAATCAAAATCTAAACTTTAGTTTCTCAGGATATTTGAAAGAATGAGATAGCAGCCATGAAATATTATAACTCATGTAAAACATTTTTTTTATAAAGTAAAGTGATTTGGTCTCGAGTGGTAGTTGCTCTTGAATAACTCCTGAAGATATTTTGGGTTATGTAGAAGATTGTCTTTTTTGCTTGTCCTCTTCTTATCAGGCAGAAGGGGTGGTATCTTTCAAAGCTGTGAGAGGGGTCTTTTTTTTTTAAACAAAATTAAAAAGCTGGATTATTGATGCATAACATGAAATGAGTTTTTGTTACCAAATTGTGACATAGAGCAGGGTACAAATCATGGATGTGGAACAATTCATGGGAAAATTTAAGATTAGTTACAAGTTTGTTATTGCACCCAAACCCCCATCAAGTGGTTACCTACCCCAGAATACTTTTTTAAGTAGACAATTCTGGTGCTCATCACCTACCCTGATCTTTTAAAAGTTTTTGGAAAAGCAGAAAAACCGCTATAGACACACTTAGATTGTTAAAATGCTACACTCACCTCCTAATATACATATAAGGGTAGCTTCTGGTGCAGAATTTCTACAAAAAAACCGTGCGCCTTAGAACCGAGAAACAATGGAAATTTCCCTATTTAGGGCAGTCGGTCCAAGGCAATCGGTATGTTCTATACGTGGACATAGTGTGTACCCTGTCATGGCCTATATCACCAACATTATTCGTTGCGAAGGAGTGCAGGCGCTCCTTGTGTTCTAGCTGTCAGGCCTTTGTGAATCATGCAGCACGGAAACTAATTCAGCGTCTCAAATACCAGAACATTTGGTGCTGCGATACTACCGAGCTCGAAAAACAGACAACAGTTCAATCATTTTGGAGTTTTTGATTAGTTAAGAAGTCGAGGAAATTTATCATTAAGGCAGGAAATTGATGAAGAGGGGGAATCTCAATAAAGCGTTTGTGGTCATTGATTGCGTTTTTGGCTCGTTTACCATTGGCTGTTCGGGAAATTAGACTCTTCCTATCCCAAATTAACGGGAGGCTCGCAGCCGGACTCGATTCGAACCCAGCTGATCCCCATTTCACACTGATTATTTGAAAAAGCAATCCGGTTAGTGATCTACTAGACTTCGAGTGTTTTTTTTTTTTTTTTCTATTAGTAATTCGACACGCACTCTCTTAGTCTCCCTGGCAGCCGTTTTTCCGGACGTCACGCAACGCTCCCCCCAAAAAAGTTCTTTTTGGGGGAGCGTTGCGTGACATCCGGAAAAACGGCTGCGAGGGAGACTAGCACTCTCTTCGACCTATCTTAACTCAGTTTGAACCTGTTTGGCACTGGGAATGAGGCAAGATTCGGAACTTATTAACATCATCTTCTGTAAAGATCGTAGTGTAGATTATAACTTAAGGACTGGATGATTCTCTTGACCTAGTTAGCATGTACAGTAGAACAAAATTTTTTTAAATATAGCTTTTTTATCCGTGTTTTGAATGAATGGAACAGTCTTCCAAATAATATAAAGGATTCTGCTAGTATTTCTAGCCTTAAACATAAACTTACTTCATTCCTTGGTAATACTTAGAATTTTTAGATTTGATTCAATTTAATACTTAGATATCAAACTCTATACTATGATATAATTTGGATGTAACGCTCGAAACGTCAGCTTTTGTAATCGTTACGGTGGCCAATTTACCATTTCAACTCTGTTGATATATCCAAATTATTTCGTTACTCCCACCGACGCAGCCCCAAACAGTTTCTTTCGAAACTATCAGCCTTTATTCATCTATACTATGATAACTGTTTTTTAATATTATATCTTACTGGGGAGCATCCCTCGTATGGTGTCTAGGACGCTTTTGGATGCTGCCTCTCTATCATCATTATTTATTTACTCTGTTTATTTTTATGTCTATGTATTTATTTATGCATCTATTTTGTAGTTTAATTTAATCTAGATTTGGAGAAACTGTAATAAAGTACTGGGGTATTCGTCCATCAACACAACGACTACTCTTCTCAAAAATTTGTTTACTAACAAAGCGTTTATTCCATCGTTCTTATCTTTCTCATTCATGGTCAAACAACTTTGATCACGGGATCCGGGGTCATTACTGATCGTTTATCTACCTGGCTGCCTCACCAAAGATTCAGCACTTTTCCCCCAAGCGTCAGAACGGAAGTGATAGTTATACTAAGACAACTAAGAGTAAGCAAGAGCGACCAAATGGATCTTTCAGCGGTTCTTTCACTTCATTCATGTCCCGCTTTTGGAGTGGGTATTTCATGCATGTCACGTTTTGAACTAGGGAGGAATATGAACATCATAGCTATCTATTATCTCAATCTGCGCACTGATTTCTGTTTGAGACGGGAGATTGTTTTATCAAAATAGATCAAATTTTTCTAAAATGGCATTTGTTGGCTTCCTTAGCCGATAACGTGACTATGGATACTCTTAAGACTTATGCAGCGTAATTCCCTAAGGCATTAGACAGGGAAAATCATTGCGTCACTTTGCAAACGTCAGAGCAATATTCAGTAATTGTTTTACTTTATAACGTGTCTTTTATTTTAGCCTCCGGTGTTTTCGTTACACCGGAAGTCCATGTTATTCGTGCCACTAATTACTATCCCACAATGCATGACGCACTTATCTCCGCCATCTTACTTTTCTTTGCTCTCAAAACAACTACAAATTACAGCTTGTATCACTGCGTTTCCCAGCGGGTACTTTTGACAATAATTTGAACAGGAATCTTCCTCAATTGTAAAATATCAAATTGAAAGGAAGATACCACGTCTGAGGATTGTAATTTCAAGCGAGGGCCCGCCATTATTGAATCATATCGAAATTGGTTTCAACGATAGGGAAAACGGAAATAGGCTACAGAGTTTCCTACGGAGTTTCGTCAACTGAATGTCTACCGACAACTTTAAGCCAGGAGTCAACTTTTGTACTGGCTGTTGATGTACTGTTGTTCTCGTCAAGATGAGAGGAAATCGAGGTGACTGACAACAACATAAAATGTCTCGGAATTCGAGCAAGAGAAACAGTTCTAATCGTGGATCTACGGGATCTGATACAGCTCGTTCAACACTGAAAGTTGTCCTCTCAAATGGCGACTCCAGATCAGTGAAATGTGGCGAAGCAACAGATGTTAAGGTTGGTTTATTCATTTCTTTGTATACTCAGTCTTTTTTTGGTAGCAGTTTTGTGCTTTTTATCGTTGTGATTTTAGTATTTAATCGCTCGAAAACTCTTCAGGAATTCTTGGTGGGGTTTACATAAATTCAATTGGTGGGGTTTACATAATTTCAATTGGTGCCTGGTGAGAGATTGCCGAACCGTACCAATGAGTTTCATCCGTTCTTTATGTTTCGTTTTCTTTTGTTTTGTTTTTTTTTTCGGTGTTTTACCGGTACTCTCTCTACGCAATGTTTTCTCTGTTTGATCTATGATCATGATATTCGTGGTCACACATTGTAACAATTTTTTTACGCGAAGGATGAGATTTGATATTTCTCACGTTGCACTAAATTCAATGTAGGAAAAGTAACAATATGAAGAAAGAATACTAGAAAAGATCTTTGGATTATCCGGTTCTATCCTAACAGTCTTACTTTACGTTCATACTTTATTTTGGACTTCAACCAATGTGTATCTTCATGTGAATCCATAAATATAATGAACCCAAGTTTTTTCAACTGTCTTGACGACGATCCCGAATTAATATAAAATGTCAAGATCCGAAGAACTTTCAGTAAATATCGGGGACTCTTCTGCTGGGCTACCGTCCTAACAACACGGATTAAGTTCAAAAATATATAGTTACTGTAATGAATGCAATTTTGAAGGTTAATTCACTGTGAGGTAACAATGTTTTTGTTCCGAGATTTAGCCGGATCGACTAATATATATATATTTTAATTCATTGAGGTAATTTCTGCTATTGTTGAAAGTAAATTTCCTTAGAAACCACTTATGGGTCAACTTATCAGATTCTGTCTCTTGATCTTGTTTTGATGTCTTTTAAGATTGGTTTTCATCTTGCAAAAAGAAACTTTAATTTGATCCAGATCATAATGATTTTATTACCATGATTGGCAATTAGTTGATCACTTTCCTTTTATCCTCTAATAAGAATATTGGTAATTAGATTTGTTGTGTTGTGAAGCTGTATTTATCACCCGCAGTTATTTGCTTCTACGTCCTTTAAATTCCAAAATTATATTATGCACTATACAAATATTATTTAGAGTACATGAGCTTACCTAATATTACACAATTATGCATTTTCTTACTCTGTGTGAGAACTGTTTCTATTTTCCAATTATTATATGATTTAAATTGGTTAATTAAATTTCTGCTGCTAGACTTTGGTTGGAGTAAGTTTGGTCAGCATGAAGGTTAATGAATCAGTAACTGTTTTGAACACTGGTTTTTAAAAACCTATCAGGGTCAGTTTTTCTGTGGATCTCCCTCAAAACTGAAATAAAAAGTAGAGACATATCCATGGAGAGACACATTTCATTCCCATGGGGAATTCTTGGCTTTGAGTAGCCATCTGTAGATAGTTAATGTTGAAATCAGTGGTTATATTTTGCTGTGCTTTACCTACCTGTACAATGGAAAATGTCGCACTCTTGGAAACTGCCTTTTAAAAATTGCTATTTTTATTGTACGATTTTGTCTAATTTGTGAAAACCCAGAGGTTCTGATACAAACAGAATTTGCTTACAGTGAGGCAATGAAATCTGGTTTTAATTGCTCACATGAAAACTAATTGATCACTTAACTCATGAAATAGTGAAAGTGCCAATGTTTTAGATTACTTTAATTTGTCATTATTATATTAACTGGTCACTAGTCAATAATGGAAGATTTGGAATGTTCTAAATTGTATGGATAAAATTTATGGTGACAAAAATGAGATACATTTTTTACCTCCTGTTCTATCGCAAGTCACAAGCCAGTTATTTTTTCTGTCCTGTGACCAAATGGATGCCTTAGGAACTGTGTTTGGGAATTTGAGTGTGTCTCCCTAGTCATTAAATGTGATAATGGTCATCCATCTCTGTCAAACCTATTAAATTTTTATTATTATAGGATACTTGTG